GTGTCCTTGCTGCTTTTTTCTTCTTTCATTTTGCCTTGGTTGTGGGAGATTAAACCCTAGTTCCTACTGAGAATTGTCATTACATGTATAAACAAATTCGTAGTTTAAGTATTTACTATACAAGATAGGTTGTTGAATATGAGGAACAACAATCACAGACCATCACAAGTTCACAACCAAAACTAAACTCTAATTATCCGGAGCCTATATGAACATTGCGTGAGGATGCTTCTCTTACCAGGCATGATACCTAGGTTAGAGTCTCTCTTTTGACGATGCAACTTTTTCTTTGCCCTATTCCCCTCCTACAAATATATCTATTCTATTGGATAAAGCGCACAACTTAGAAGCTTTATTATGCTTTTGTTTTTCTGAAAATATCCATAAAATCGGTAACCGCTTAAAACTGCACATCCCGTAACTGCTAAACAGTTTCCAAATCAATCCTCATTCGTTAAACTGTCCAAATGTTCAGATGTACAATCACAAACTGCACCCACCGCTAGTGTTTATATATATGTGAACATTGCAAAGAAGAGGTAATCAAAACGATACCTTGTGACACAGAATTTGGTTTCTTCTGGTTTGACTCTGCCTTTATAGTTTCATCCCTGCAATTAATCATAAAAAGCAATAAGAAAATCAAAGTCCACAACTTGCAGCTCAATTTTAACACAAGGAAAACAAGTGTTCCCAAACCTTGTTTCAGTTTTATTTCAAAACTGAGTCATGACTAGTCTTTGTTTCTTTCTTTGGATGAATTGTTTGAACAAGTGCCTCAATCTCTTCCTGCATTCTCTCAAAAACATTGGGAGCTTTGACATCATTCATTGGGGTGTCCTCATCAATGTCATTGCGCAATCCATGACTTTCATTATGATGGCGATCATGTGTTTTTACATCTTTATCTGGCACCAAAACGTACAACAATTCAACATGGTATCGATAGGTATGCTTGAACCTCACCACCTAGTTAATAATTATAGTACTTGCAACATGTTTTGGCTGGTTATGAAAAATAGCCTTACCGCACATGAAGGATGTGTATATATATATTCCATTATATAAAGCGTATGACTCGGTGTGAATGACGTCACTTTCTTTTTTTCCTTTTCAAGAATACCCTTCACATTTAATTGTCACATCATATCCAATATATGTTTGAACAATTTTTCTCCTTAATCAAAACCGTTCAAAATTGTTAATCAATCAATTTTTCTCAAATTGCAAACGCATGACATTTGACCCATCGCTAGTATCTTATAAAAGTAATCCCACATGGTATGAACTGAAGCCAAATCATGCTATTTTTTATGCCAAATTTACCCTACAGAGCTAACCGCTTCAATTCCCCTCCTCCCATATCCTCTCAACTGCTTTAGTTATAAACTTAAAATTTTTATGAGTTGTTCTTATCACATCAACATCTAAATTCACAAAGATACACACCAGGTATAGGGAGATACACATGCACTAGGATTATCTATATTATTATATGAAGCCTCCACCAGAGTGATCAGTGTAGACTGCATATTTTTTTGATTTTCTCAAAATAGCTGTAACTGTATGCAACTCTTGCCTCAGTAACTATCAAATCAAATTACTATCAAAATTTTGTAACTTCTTGCAGCTTTAAGCCTGCTAATTTATAAATTATATGCTTAATTTGGCCTTCTATGCTTTAATGGGATGATTACAAACAAACACATTGCAAAGAAAATAAGACTCTCTCTCTCTCTCTCTCTCTCTCTCTCTCTTCTTCTAGTCTCTAACACACACAAAAGAAGGATGATCAATCAAATAACACAAAAGGGGTTGTTCTTGATTAAAACTATTAATAATTGAAATAGCAATTATTGGGCAATGTAATCTTTGATTTGTTCAAGAAATGAGAAAAAAAGTAACATGGGTATGAGATCAAAAGATGTGAATGAATGAAAAAAGAATACTTACCTGAGATAGTGATTGATGGGTCTGATTTAGATTCAGCCATGTGGATCTGTTGGAGAGGTTCTTCAAAGTTGAGTTTTGATTTGGTTGATGCGATCTGGGATTAGAATAGATGGACCGTTCAGAGCACGCAGAGATAGCAGAGAGAATAATATTAGAATCAAAGGTTTGATATATGCCACCAGGTTTGAAAGTGCCAACTTTGGCAAAGTTGACACTATGGAGGGGTTTGGTTCTCTGCAACAGGAAGACTTTGTAATTTTTTTCAGACACTGAGGTGTGACCAATCACGATTTGACAAATAATTTCGGTTCCATTTGTTTTAATTTTAGAATTATGATTTCGGTGTGGAATTGTGATTTAAGTGTAGAGTTGTGAGTTGAGTATTAAAAAGATAAAATTTGTTTGATTATGAGTTTTGAAAAAGAGTTTTTGAATTTTAAATTTTGAAAATGAAAAGAATTTTAAATTATATTTTGAGTTTTGAGTTTTAAATTTTGAGTTGTATTTGAAATTTTTTAGATTTATTTTTTTAAAATATTTAAAAATGTTTAAGAAAATTTTATTTTTTAATTTTAAATATATAATTTTTATTAAAATTTTTTATTTTAATATTTTATTTTTTTTTGTAAATATTTTATTTTTTTTAAATATTTTAACTCAAAATACAATTCATACTCAAACTCTTTTCAAAATTCTATTAAAAAATTTCAAAAAATATTTTTTTATTTTGTCTTTTAAATTATTTTTTGTTTTATATTTTTTTGAAAAATATTTTGTTTTTTTTATTTTTTGAAGAAAAATATTTGTTCTTTTCTATTTTTTCAAATAAAAGTTTTTGTTATTTTTTTAAGTATTGGTCAAATAATTTGTATGATTTAGATATATATGACCATCCAATTTTTTTAAAAAATTTAAAAATTAAATATTTAAAAAAAAGGAAAAAAAATTATTAAATATTAAAGAATTAAAATATTTTAAAATATATTTAAAAATAAAATAAAATATTTAAATAAAAATCAAATTTTTTAAAATTAAATATTTAAAATATATATATAAAAAATACAATACACAAATGTATGAAATACAACATATTAAAATAAATAAATAAATATTTAAAAAATAAAATTAAGAAAATTGATCACAAAATACAGAGAGTGGAGTTTATTTTAGGGAGAATAACAAATCAGTGTATGTTTTGAAAAAAAAAAATCAAATTAATGATAAACTGTATTTTTTTTTTCTTTTAGATTTGGATATTTTTAGGGTTTAAAAAATAAAATTAACTCATACAACTAGGTTGGACTAAAATTTTGAGCTATTGAATTTTTTAGGTAGAATTGAAATATTAGTTTTAGGGATTCTATTTGAACCTAAAAATATGTCTCGATACTCTAATTAAATTCATAATTTTAATTTTTATTATATTCTATATATGATTATAATAAGGACAACATCTATTAAACTCTTAATATATATATATATATATATTTTTTTTTTTCTCATGGTACACCGTAATCAGTTATTATTATTCAAAGAGGTTGGAATGCCAATACCGCGACCGGCCTACGAACCAACGGACAAAGCATTGGCAAGACTACAGACTTCGCCGTTTTCTGTATCTTTTTCACCAAGAGATCAAAGGTAATTTTTTTTTTCTTCTTCTTCTTCTTCCTCCCTCCAAATCTCCAACCCATCCTACCAAAACTCACCATCATCAACATCATTATTTTAAAGCCCTAAACCCTAGAAGAAAGTTTGAACAAAATCAAATAATGGAGAGAGTATTAATCAAATAGTTTTTTGAAACAACCCGTCAAAAATGAGATAAATATTCATATAAAGGGATTTCACAATTTTTGTAGAGCACCATCAATTATTTTCTATATCGTTTTTTTGACAAAAATTAAAAAACCCAGTAGTTAGATTAACAATAACATATTATTAGAGTTGTTCTTATTT